GCCGTATACTGACAGACAGAGCTGGGTGCAGTGAGGGATGCCGTATACTGACAGACAGAGCTGGGAGCAGCGAGGGATGCCGCATACTGACAGACAGAGCTGGGAGCAGCGAGGGATGCCGCATAGTGACAGACAGAGCTGGGAGCAGTGAGGGCGCCGATATGCCTGACAGACAGAGCTACTAGGAGCAGTGGGGGCGCGTATACTGACGAATGGAGCTGGGTGCAGTGAGGGCGCTGGCATACTGTGGACTGGGGCCCGGTGCAGTGAGGGACGCCGTATACTGACAGCTGGGAGCAGTGAGGGATGCCGTATACTGACAGACAGAGCTGGGTGCAGTGAGGGATGCCGTATACTGACAGACAGAGCTGGGAACAGTGAGGGACGCCGTATACTGACAGACAGAGCTGGGTGCAGGGCGGGATGCCGTATACTGACTGACAGAGCTGGGTGCAGTGAGGGACGCCGTATACTGACAGAGCTGGGAGCAGTGAGGGATGCCGTATACTGACAGACAGAGCTGGGTGCAGGGAGGGATGCCGTATACTGACAGACAGAGCCGGGAGCAGTGAGGGACGCCGGATACTGACAGCTGGGAGCAGTGAGGGATGCCGTATACTGACAGACAGAGCTGGGTGCAGGGAGGGATGCCGTATACTGACAGACAGAGCCGGGAGCAGTGAGGGATGCCGTATACTGACAGACAGGCGGATTACGCAGTGAACTAAGCCGTATACCCCGGCAGACAGAGCTTCTAGGTGCAGTGAGGGCGCTATACTGACAGACAGAGCTGGAGCGATGAGGGAGCGCCGATATACCCCTGACAGACAGAGCTGGGAGACTTAGCGAGGGGCGCCCATGCTCTGACAGAGCGGGTCTACAGCGGAGGCGCCGTATACTGACAGACAGAGCTGGAGCAGTGAGAGGGCGCCATTGTATACCTGACGAGGAACAGGCTACAGGAGCAGTGAGGGCGCCGTACTGACAGACAGAGCCGGGAGCAGTGAGGGATGCCGTATACTGACAGACAGAGCTGGGTGGGATGCCGTATACTGACAGACAGAGCCGGGAGCAGTGAGGGACGCCGGATACTGACAGCTGGGAGCAGTGAGGGATGCCGTATACTGACAGACAGAGCTGGGTGCAGTGAGGGATGCCGTATACTGACAGACAGAGCTGGGAGCAGCGAGGGATGCCGCATACTGACAGAGCTGGGAGCAGTGAGGGATGCCGTGTACTGACAGCTGGGAGCAGTGAGGGATGCCGTATACTGACAGACAGAGCTGGGTGCAGTGAGGGATGCCGTATACTGACAGACAGAGCCGGGAACAGCGAGGGATGCCGTATACTGACAGACAGAGCCGGGAGCAGCGAGGGATGCCGTATACTGACAGACAGAGCCGGGAGCAGCGAGGGATGCCGTATACTGACAGACAGAGCCGGGAGCAGCGAGGGACGCCGTATACTGACAGGCAGAGCTGGGTGCAGTGAGGGATGCCGTATACTGACAGACAGAGCCGGGAGCAGCGAGGGATGCCGTATACTGACTGACAGAGCTGGGTGCAGTGAGGGACGCCGTATACTGACAGACAGAGCTGGGAGCAGTGAGGGATGCCGTATACTGACAGACAGAGCTGGGAGCAGTGAGGGATGCCGTATACTGACAGACAGAGCTGGGAGCAGTGAGGGACGCCGTATACTGACAGACAGAGCCGGGTGTAGTGAGGGACGCCGTATACTGACAGCTGGGAGCAGTGAGGGATGCTGTATACTGACAGACAGAGCCGGGAGCAGCGAGGGATGCCGTATACTGACAGACAGAGCTGGGAGCAGTGAGGGATGCCGTATACTGACAGACAGAGCTGGGAGCAGTGAGGGATGCCGTATACTGACAGACAGAGCTGGGAGCAGTGAGGGATGCCGTATACTGACAGACAGAGCTGGGAGCAGTGAGGGACGCCGTATACTGACAGACAGAGCTGGGTGCAGTGAGGGATGCTGTATACTGATAGCTGGGTACAGCAGTGAGGTATAACTTTTAATGGCATGTCTGTAATGTGGGTAAATGGCTGAACTTCATAGTCTATCTTGAATGCCAAGCCATCAATGCTTTTGGGTAGGGATCGACCGATTATCGGTTTTACCGATATTATCGGCCTATATTCGGTATTTTCGACAATATTGGTATCGGCCAATAAAGATACCGATATTGACTATAATATACCAGGACCGCCGGGCCCATTACAAGCCCTGCGGCCCTGGGGGCAGGGAGGGGGCCGCAGGAAGCGGTTACTTACCTTCCCAGCAGCTCCCTTCTGCTCCCTGTGTAAATATCGCGATTTACACAGGGAGCTGCTGGAAAGTTAAGTAAGCGCTTGCTGCCAACCCCCACTGCACGTCCATGCCAGTGGACCACCAGGGAATGCTATATTCCCCCTCATTGGCCAGGTAACAAGCAGGGAGGGGGGCCACAAAATTAAAATAAAACATATAAACATTAAAAAATGCCTTTCTCCCCCCTCATTTTACACAAATCACATCCCTTCAGGAACACACATTACACACTCGGTATATAATGCAGAGTGTGTATATAATGCACACACTACACACACTGCGTTCGCTATACACACTGCACTCCATTTACGCACACTACACGCACTGCATTCACTTTACACACCACATTCACTATACACACACAAACACACACTCTGCATTCATTATATACAAACACACACGGCTCCCCTGTCTAAACACACTGCATCCACTACGTGTGGCATGTATATTTTGTGCATTTACCTTTAAAAATTGTTTATTTTTTCAAAATGGTAAATGCACAGAATATCAGCAAGTTATCGGCTATCGGTCTGAAAGTTCACAGATTATCGGTATCGGCTCTAAAAAAAAAAAAATCAATATCGGTCGATCCCTACTTTTGGGCATATGGCATATGTACCACATCTTATACATGGTAAAATAATAATACAAATATTCCCGCATGATTTATTAGGGAATATATAATAGTAAATGGTTTTCAAAGTGAGAATATGGTGCGCAGTGCTATCCAGTTGACTTTTGACATGTTATATGAACATTGTGGGTTTTTTTCTCTTAAAAAATGCAAACTATGTGACACTGACTCACAGGGAGATGTTCATTTTCCAAAATAAAAAAACCATTGCTTGGGATACAGAGAAATTGGAAACTTTAAGCACAACTGTTCCTAAATTAAATGAGAAAGGGAACTAGAAATGCAGCCTCAGAAATGATACCTATATGCAGCATTGAAATATATATTGTTTATTTTGAAGATAAATATTCAGTGTTATCTTTCTGTTAATGGGAACATTTAAACATGATTACGATTACAGCTTATTGTAGTGGTTTGGTACAACGGGTCTTTGTGTGCAGTTAAACCTTTTTTGAGAAGTTTGAAATCTCAGCCCCAGTGTTGTTGTTGATTCCATGTGCTATCCAAATTTGGATTGCCACAATCGTCTGTAAGCACAGGGCTAAGTCACCAGAAGGCTCTCAGCCTATCCTTGGCATCCACATATTAGTATTAGCGATGGATACAGGTTTAGTTGCCATCAGAGCTCCAATTGTGAACTGCGCAAAAATGGTTTGAGAAAGAAAAACAACCCATATGGATCGCTTGCATTAGTACAGTGATGGAGTACCATTTTGTGCCTAACACCCCAACTGCAAAAGAAAATGAACTTATTTATCTCAAAATGCAAACATTACAATCATACCTGAAAAAATCTTTTCACACAACTGTCTAAACCAATTAAAGAGTTACTCCAAACATTATATTCCCTACAAGATTACATTGGTACTGGTAATTACACGCCAAGGCATTGACTGACAGCTGGGGTGGGGGGATATTTGTAAATTAGTTTTTCTCCTAATCTGTACATTTGCTAGCAAAACATGGTGTATAGATAAAATCTAATTAGCTTAAATTGTTAGGTTCATGACAGGTACCCTTTAAACTGCTGCAATCTCAAGTGCACTTCAAACCTTTTGTCTTGAGAACAAGATAACATCTAGGATATCTGTGTATTGGATAGTAGGGGGTCCAAGAACTTAAATAAGCCTATGAGATGAAACTCATTGTGATTGCCTTTCACTGATTCCTGATTCCATAAAATGGATGTGGCAGTAAACAATCAAGACATTCTGAGACCACTCTGAGTTAGAAACAAAATGAAATTAGAGGAATACCCAGAACCAGAAAAAACATTTGAAATCGTTGATCTAAGCACCACATGACCATACAGTTTTTGTGCGGCACTGTCTGGAAACTTTGACGAGTATGCAAAGACCCCCCCCAACTGTGACATCGCTGCTGGGGATCAGCAGAGCAGGTAAAGATGACATTTACTTACCTGAACCTGTTCCTCACGGGGTCCACATGCAGGAGAATACAGCATTGAGGTCTATCCTTTAAGACCGCTGGTTCTTCCATAGACAGAGCAGCTGTCGGAGTTGTCCAGAGTCTAAGAAAGTCAGGCAGAGGACATATACAATGACAAAGTAGTCCCTGCGTTGTGTCTGTATGTCTATTTACTGAGTTGGAAATGCAGTGAAATTCCAACAGAGTCAAGATTAGTATTTCATAAAGATTCTTTCTGTATGTTGCCAAGATTACAAATATACACAGAATAGAGGGAATGGGGGGCACACCAAGAACTTGCTTTTTTCAGTAGTGGTGCTGCTGTAAAGACCAAAATATATGCGAAATAGAGATCAAGGAAACAGCGCACAAAAAAAATACAGTTTTAAATCTTAGAAGGCTACTTAAATTCACCTATCGTAGCAAACGTAAATGGGGATTCAGTTACATAGTATGGCCATTATTGAGTTACAGTACCCAAATATTGTGGCTTCCTGCACTAGTTTTAACATGGGAGATACCCATGCTGCCGGCAATACCTACTGCTCAAACTGTGTCTAGAGACTCTCCTCAAATCTATGTTTTCATGTGGTTACTTCCAAAAGTACCACACTGACCTAGCCATATATATCTGCACCCAATGAGTACAGCTTGAGCAAGAACATGTTGATAAAATTTTAAATGTAAAAAGTCATTTATTAAAGGTAGACTATAGACATCAGAACAACTACAGCTTAATGTCGTTGTTGTTCTTGTATCTATCCCTGTCCCTGCAAGCTTTTTAACGTAACTGAGAAAATGCAGTGTTTACATTGCTGCCAAGTAACACCTCTAATGGTTATCACTGACAGCCACTAGAGGAGCTTCCTGGGTGAGTGCTGCAGTGGCGTTCAACATCTCTGTGCTCTGCATGGAGATGCATTGATTTAATGCATCTCTATAAGGAGATCTCTATAAGGAGATACTGATTGGCGCAGCGTGGTATTTTGCCACACATGCGCAATAGCCTCCAATTGCTTTTTAATGGGAAAGAAGTGGATTGATGATCTCAACCATGGAGACGGAGCTAGCTGAGTCAAGAGCGGTGCAGCTATGGGAAAAAGGTAACTAAAATACCTTTTCAAAGGGAGGCAACGGGGGCCGGAACCTAAATGGTGATTTCACCACTATAGTGTCAGAAATACATGTTTGTGTTCCTGACTCTTTAGGGTTCCTTTAACATTGAATCATGTTAAAGCGGCACTGTCATGCCGAACTTACCTTTCCTCAATCTCTTCCTCTTCTCCCCCTCTCTCGGGATCTGTTATTCTTTTCTTCCTGTCTTCTTTAGTTTTCTTTAAAATAATAAGACAAAGTAGGGACTCTTTGCCTTATGGAGGATTCCTCCGCTTGACCAGCTCTGACCAGCGGAGGAGCAAAGTGTGCTTCATTTCCGCTGGTCAGAGCAATTTTCCCATGATCCTTACCTTCCCTCTGTGTTCCCACGATGCTTCCTGTCATTTTAGACCAAACTGCCGAATTGCGTTCTAACTGAATGAGAACAGTATGTTTGTTTCTTTTAGAACGCAATTCGGCACTTTGTTCGTATTGGAATTTAATTCTAATGAATGAAACTCTGATCCTATTAATTGCCGCGGCTGCATCTTGCAGCCGCTTAGTAGATAACTCCCTAATTCCCACTATCAGGGAGCTATCTACTAAAAGGCTGAAAGACCTAAATTGGCCTTTCAGCCACATTTACTAATACTAAGTAAAGATTACTTAGTATTAGTAAATAATATTCCCCTACTCGCTATATCGCGAGTAGGGGCATGTGTAGTAAGCAGTGAGCAGCTTATAGCTGCTCACTGTAAAAAACAAACAAAAAACTAATAACCCCCCCCTGCCCGTGGGGGCCCTAAATAAAGATGGGGGGGACCTACTGTGCTCCCCCCCTGGCCCCCACCCCTGAGCGGTGGGTGGGGGCCCTAAATAAAGATAGGGGGGACCTACTGTCCCCCCCTGGCCCCCACCTCTGCGTGGTGGGTGGGGGCCCTAATAAAACAATAAGGGGGGGGACCTACTGTCCTCCCCCCCTTGCCCCCACCACTGAGCGGTGGGTGGGGGCCCTAATAAAACAATAAGGGGGGACCTACTGTCCTCCCCCCCTGGACCCCATCCCTGAGCGGTGGGTGGGGGCCCTAATAAAACAATAAGGGGGGGACCTACTGTCCCCCCCTGGCCCCTGAGCGGTGGGTGGGGGCCCTAAATAAAGATAGGGGGGACCTACTGTCCCCCCCTGGCCCCCACCCCTGTGTGGTGGGTGGGGGCCCTAATAAAACAATAAGGGGGGGACCTACTGTCCTCTCCTCCTGGCCCCCACCCCCCCGAGCAGTGGGTGGGGGGCCCCTAATTAAAACAACACAAGGGGACCTACTGTCCTCCCCCCCTGGCCACCACCGCTGAGCGGTGGGTGGGGGCCCTAAATAAAGATATGGGGGGGAACTTCTGTCCCCCCCGTCCCCACCCCTGCGCGGTGGGTGGGGGCCCTAATAAAACAATAAGGAGGGGGACCTACTGTCCTCCCCCCCTGGCCCCCACCCCTGAGCGGTGGGTGGGGGCCCTAATAAAACAATAAGGACCTACTGTCCCCCGGCCCCTGAGCGGGTGGGGGGTCCTAATAAAAACAATAAGGGGGGACCTACTGTCCCTCCCCGGCCCCCTGCACTGAGCCGGGTAGTCCCACTAAAACAATAAGGGGACTCACTGTCCCTCCCCCAGTGGGTGGGGGCCCTAATAAAACAATAAGGGGGGGGTACCTACTGTCCTCCCCCCCTGGCCCCCACCCCTGAGCGGTGGGTGGGGGCCCTAATAAAACAATAAGGAGGGGGACCTACTGTCCCCCCCTGGCCCCTGAGCGGTGGGTGGGGGCCCTAATAAAACAATAAGGGGGAGGGACCTACTGTCCTCCCCCCCGGCCCCCACCCCTGAGCGGTGGGTGGGGGCCCTAAATGAAACACACCCCCCCCCCAATCAAGGTGACTAGGGGTCCCAAGCCCAAGAACACTCTGATTGGTGGGTTTAAGCCAATCAGAGTGCTCTGTGTCATTTTACACAGCGTGGGAAAATTCAAAAGAACTTTCCCACGCTGTGTAAAATGACACAGAGCACTCTGATTGGGTGGCTTGAAAGTGTAAAATAACACAGAGCACTCTGATTGGCTTAAACCCACCAATCAGAGTGCTCCCAATCAGAGTGCTCTGTGTCATTTTACACAGCGTGGGAAAGTTCTTTTGAATTTTCCCACGCTGTGTAAAATGACACAGAGCACTCTTATTGGCTTAAACCCACCAATCAGAGTGTTCTAAGCCTAATTGCAGGGCGGGGCAAGGCTTTATAAGCCTTGACCCGCCCTGCGGAGCTCAGTATGCGGCGTGCCCTCGAAGGGCGAACTTGGATTAAATTTTTTTTGCGCTCGTTTTTTTTTTTTTTTTTAAAGTGCGACGGGTATGATGGATTTTTATTTGGCCTTTTTGGGGGCTGAAGAAAGAAGATTTTAGAAAAAAGAAGACGTCAAATGGTAAGTTTAATTTTTTTTTTACAGGTTAGTTATTTTATTCCCCCCTCACTATTTTTAGGGTGAGGGAGGTAGGTAGGGGATAGTTTTTTTTTTGGGTGGTGGGGGTGACTAGGGGCTTGGGACCCCTAGTCACCTTGATTGGGGGGGTTGTTTCATTAAGGGCCCCCACCCACCGCTCAGGGGTGGGGGCCGGGGGGAGGACAGTAGGTCCCCCCCTTATTGTTTTATTAGGGCCCCCACCCACCGCTCAGGGGTGGGGGCCAGGGGGGAGGACAGTAGGTCCCCCCCTTATTGTTTTATTAGGGCCCCCACCCACCGCGCAGGGGTGGGGGCCGGGGGGGGGGGCAGTAGGTCCCCCCCGTATTGTTTTATAAGGGCCCCCACCCACCGCGCAGGGGTGGGGGCCAGGGGGGGGAGGACAGTAGCCCCCCCCTTATTGTTTTATAAGGGCCCCCACCCACCGCGCAGGGGTGGGGGCCGGGGGGGAGGACAGTAGGTCCCCCCCTCATTATCTTCATGGTTACCACCCGCCGCTCAGGGTGGGGGAGGGGGGGAGGACAATAGGTCCGCCCCCCCTTATTGTAATTTATGTAATTTTTTTTCAACAGTGAGCAGCCACAGGCTGCTCACTGTTTAGTAGACATGCCCCTACTCGCGGTATAGCGAGTAGGGGCATTTGGGAGATTTTAATCTCCCTTGTGCTATTATGGGGGTCATATTGACCCCCATAGAGTGAGAGGGGGACCTGGGGGGGTTTATGAAGTGGTGGGGAGCACTGCTCCCTGCCGCTTCTATAGTTACATATTACAAGGAGGGAGCTGCACGCCGGTAGCTCCCTCCTTGTAATAACCTGCACGAACAAACATACACTGATACACAGATACACTGATACATAGTGTTTGTTTGTTCGGCTAATATTTCTATTCACTCATTCGCCTGTCTGATGAATGAATGAATAGATTAAATTCCCGTTCGCATGTCCAGGTGTTTCACTGGGCATGTGCGGGAATCTCACAGTCTGCCTAGTGTGGGCTGATGACGTGTCCCACAGGGACTTCACCTACCCACACAAAGATGGCGGCGCCCTGAATATAGATCGGGGCAGAAAATAAAGATTTAAAAAGAGGTAATCTGGGGGGCTTAGGGGTATTTGGGGGTGACTAGTGGGTCAATTGGATGTAGTGGAGGCGGGAGGGGGGTTAAAAAAAAACGGGATTCGGCATAACAGTGCCGCTTTAATAAAAAAAATCTGCACTATAGTTTGTGGCATTTTTATTCCCTTGCATGACCAACCCTGACAGAGAGAAACC